GCTGACCAGCTCTAGGTCTGCTTCCAGAAACAAAATTCTCCAAGCCTGACTGGCAATTCTGTGTTGAGCTGTTGCTGGTGAGGGGCTGTTGTTCCACTGGGGCTGTGTCAGGGTAGGTTAGGTTCCTGAGGCAGGCAGGGCTGTGCCCACAGGTGGGTACCATGGCTGCAGAGCCTCCCCAACCTCTCCAGCAGGCTCAGCAGGACTCCTGCAGCTCACTGCCTCGCTCCCCTTTAACACACTGCAGTAATGCCTCTCCCAGCCCAGCAGCAAAGAGAGCAGCTGCTCTGGCAGTAATGCAGGGAGGAAGGGACCTGGGCAGGGCAAACGAGGTGCTTGCCAGCATCATCCTCCTGCCCCACTGTAAGTGGATTGCATTGTGAGCCACTTCTCCCCCTTCACCACCATAGCTCTCATTTTCCCCTCACAATTCCAGCTGCTCTTCATTTGTTCATTTGGCTAAAACCCACCTAAAATCCTCACGTATTTCACCACAAAGCAGCTACCAAGTGAAACAATGTAATTTATTTGACATTACACCAGACATGGGTACTCCAGCCCCAAACTTGGCCTTAAAACAATTTTAAATCCTGGACTTGCTGCACAGGCATTACCAGAGTTACCCAGCTGAGGGCTAAAATTTGCCAGCATTACAGCTGCCGAAACACAGTTAAATACAGGAGAACTGAACCAAACAGCTGTGATCACGATCAAAGCCTCGCTTCATGGTCACACCATCCCTGCACAGCAACACCACGCGGTGCACAGCCCGCTAACCCAGCTCCAGGCTGTATTTCATCAAGTATCCTCTGTCAGCTCCCACTGAGCAGAAGGCAGCTTTCAGACCACCCTGTTCCGTTCAGCAACCACTGACCCAAGCCCCACAGCCTCTGCCCGAGCCCTCCCCCAGCTGCAGGACAGCACTGGGAGCTCAGCAAGAGCCATCGCCTCCCTGCAGAGAAGTGCCGCACACCGTGCTTGGAAATGCACAGCTACGAGATCAGCGGCAGCGGGAAACAAAGGCTGCTTCCTCTCTTCCTTCACACACAGCCTACACCGCTTGTTCTCAAGGAGGCACCGCGTGTGCTCTGTGAGGCAGCCTCAGCCAAAACCACGCTTTCACTACACAGATTAAATGTGCACCATTTCTCCCTTTTCCACGAGCATTAGGACAGAGCCCAGCTGCTCTCACTGCTGACACAGAGGCAGCGCACTGGGGAACACGAGAACCATCTGAAATACCAGAAATAAAATGAAAACTGCTTTCAGGGAAACATGCATTTATTAAGCATTCCCAGTGAAAAGAAATCAACATCTTTTCAAATGTGTGTTTATTTAAAAAATCATTTGTGTACAAAAGTGTTTGTGTTTTTATTTTCAAGACAAAAAACACTGATGCTGCATCCCAGCCCCCCCCCACTCCATTACAGGCAGGCTGATGCACAGGAGCCCACCTCCTACCAAGCTTTTATCAGACTTTTTAATATATTTTTTTAGGGTTTTAAGTTTTGTTTTGGTTTGGTTTTTTTTGTGTTTTTTTTTTCTTTTTTTTTTTTAAGAAAAGTCAGAATTTCAGATGGAAAAGTGAAAAGCAGGGTTCTTCCACAGCTGACATCAGCGTTATGAGGGCAGCCTGCTCCAGCCACCCCCCAGCAGCAGCAGTGGGCAGATACAGCATTTTCACAGTACATTTCCTCAGCTGTTGAGTCACGTCTCCCAGCTGACACCAGCAAGGAGAGGCTCAGCGCCACAAGCAGCCGGCCAGAGTTTGATGCCTACGAAGCAGGTAACAGCAGAGAAGGAACATCACAGTACAGGGCAAACGAGTTCTAAGATTTTGCTGAATGAGAGCAGATCTGAAAAGATGAGTTGCTAACTCCAGGGCACTGCAGCTGGTACAACCGAGCAAGAAGCAAAATGCATTGAGGACAGCTGGGCTGATGTGGCTACAGCTGAACCAGCTGAGGATGCAGCACCAGCAGAAGAGCGAGCTGTGTGCAGCCACTGATGGCTTCAGAATAGATCAGAAAATGAGCAAGAGGGAAGAAACAGCTGCTTCTTCACCTAGCCATAGGAGAAGGCTCTGACTAGAAAATGAGGAGAATTCATAGCAAACCACCTGCACGGCCTTCCCAGGCAAAGCCCGAGGCACTCGGTGAGCACCCTGGCTTCCTGCTGCAGCTGAGCAATGCAATGGATGGCACGATGAAGGGCGTTCTCAGCTCATCAAGTCCTACGAGCACAGCACAAGTGAGCAGCTAGATGTTTGGATCAACTTCTGCCATCAACAAATAGGGCAGGACAGAACACCTGACCTTCCTGAGGCTGCATATAAGCAGACACGAAACCAAACTAGCACTGCTCAGGTGGTTATCCTTTTCCCCTTTGGGCAAGCCTCCAACACTAAGCCAGCTTTTATTGGTATTTAGGAAGGAAGCAAGGGACGTGCACACAGTCAAGCTTCTTCCCCTCACTCTGAAAACAGAACATTTCACATTAGGAGATGCAGTAAACAAGAACTCTTGCTTGAAACTACGTTTCAGGTTTGATTTTCCCCCTCCCATAAATCAGCACTCCATAGGCTTTCAAGTACCCAGACTGATTCACAGCTTCAATTTGCATAGTTCGAGTGTTTGTTGCCCACACCACCCCCTACAGGCTTGGTATCACCAGGGAAGCTCCTTCCTGCCTATTTAATTCTTCTTTTATTCTGATCTGAAAGAAGACGGACAGACAATATTCCTAGTGCGTTAGCACCCAGCCCCACGCTACCTCCTGGGCCAGGCACAGCACAGCGCCCAGCTGGCACGAGGCTCACCAGAAAGCTGCTCACTCATACCCAGTTCTGCGCTGCTGCCTTGGCACGCTTTTTGCTGCCAAAGGGAAGCTTGGAACACGCAGGAGTAGCACCGCAGGCCAGAACTTTCTGGAAGGATCCATCGCTAAGCTTTGTCCAAGAGGTCCCAGTTGGTCACAGCAGGAGCGCAACTCCCTCACAGACACGATGGAGAAAGCTGCGAGTTTGGCAAGGGGGAGCAGAGGCCAGAGATGGAGAGTTTGGCACTCACAGGAAAACGGAGGCTTTTGGCAACACAAAGGGACATTCCTTTATCTCTATGCAAAATTACACTTTGCTTTTTGAAGAAGTGGATGAGACAGGAGCTGCTGGTTCCCCACCAACCACTTTGCCAGATGAACATTAAAACGTTGAGCACTGAGATCTCACGCTCTGGAAATCTGTATGCTCCATTAGCAACGCCTTGTTAAGAAAAACTGGGCCATCTTTTACACTTCAGAATAACTGTTTCAAGCTGCTTTCTTAAATACTGAAGGAAGACAACATGAGATTCATTGTACTCGGCAAGCAACTGTCCCCACAGTTCACAAAAATTCATTTTAAGCAAGCAGAAAATGTGAGCCCAAGCCTGAAGCAGCGAGCGGTGTGGCAGCTCTGCACTGGCAATGTGTGGGGCCCACAACATGGCGCCGCTCACGCAGATGGCACGACTACACTGTGTGCAAACTCAGCGAGCTGAATGCTGATAGTAAACTCCCTGGGGCTCAGCCCCAGCTGCAGCTGAACCAACCTCGAACAACCTTATTCCTGTATTCAACTCTGATAACTAACGAGAAGACAAAACCACTCCTTAGGAAAGACTAACATGAGAACTTGAGAACTTCAGCCCACCAATGTCTCCCTAATGTCAGCTCTCCTTCCCAGCTCAGGCCTTGAGAAGACGCCCTCTGCCAGCACCTGAGCCAGCATCAAAGTATCTCTGCTGTAAAGCACGTGGGGATGGAGGGCAAAAAATAGCATCCAACACCTACACGTAAGGGAAAGGGAAGACAAGTGTTCTTGTACGGAGACAACAGTGAGGTAACTTCACAAGAGAAACAGAACTTAACAGGGTGTTGTTTCAGTGGTGACCGTGACCACCTCAAAACCACTTCCACTCTTCTTCCCTCCCCATCTTCCTTTACGCACAGTTCAGGAAATGTGGGTACCTCTGGACACGTGCTTTCAGTGGGCGCTCTTAGGAGACCGATCTCATCCAAAGACACGCAGAAGCCCCTGACAGAAGTTTTATATCCCTTGACAACAATTTCAGAGTTTCTTCTTTTGATGAATAGCAGCGAAGAGCAAGGGAAAGCAGTCAGCAATTTATAATTACCACCAGGATAAAACAACACAACAGAAAAGGCGTTGACGTAATCAAGTTTTTACCCTGTACAACAGAAAAAACAGCAATCTGAGGTTAACACTAGCGGCGTTCTGCCAGTTTCCTACCGTCCCTGGTTCTCACCTAGCAAACCAGCTGAACAGTAGCAGCTTCTTGTTTAAAAAAATAAATAAATATAAAGAAAGACAAAACAATTTGTTTCCTTTGGCATCTTCGAGAATGATTTACACTAACTGAAGAAAATCCAAGAAAAGCGATCACCGACTACACCTCAAAAAGCAGTATGTATGAGACTAAGCAAATGCATTTAGTATTGCACTGATATGAGCTAGAAGTATTTACTGTCTGTGCCCCCCAAGTATTTTAAGCTGGGACACATGGGACAGAAGAGTTCAGAGCACACCCCCGAAGAGTTGGGTCTGTACAGCTCTACTTCCTGGTTCTGTTCCACAGCTGTGCTCCAGACACTGATCAGGTGCAGCGCTCCTGATCTCATCTTGTACAACTTCTAAACAAACCTCTACGAAGAGTGAAACTATTTCAGCCTGCACTTCACAGTCCAAGAGAAACCCCAACCAGACGTCCCTCCCCACATCCCACCCCATTAATGCACTCTTCAGGAGAAGAAACAGTTGTGGAAAAATGCCTTACGTGGTACAGCACTGACAATCCCCACCCTATTCTCAGCATTTCTCTGAACGTCCTTGTCAGATATATTCTCAAAAGTTAGCATCGTATTCATAAAGACAGCAGAGCTCTCTTTAAATAGATGTACTAGTGTTTGAAGTTGCAAAACTAATAATTTTCAAGCTTTTGCACTCAGGATGAAATGTCATTTTAATACGAATAAGACGACTGACTGTATGTACAAGCCAAGGTAAGTTTCAGTTCTCGTTTATCAGAAACATCAATCCAAAAGAAAGCTAAATTGAGAACAAACTTCTATGTGCATTTGAAGTATGTACAGTAAAAACACCAACACAGCCTCCATGTGTCAACTAGAGAAAAACGCAAGCAAGGATGAGTTTTCAAGTACCTGGAAAGCAATCCTTAAACTGAAGCCCAAAATAAAGCTAGGAAACTGCTGCAAAAACAGCTGATTGCATCATATCAAGCACTCAAAAGAAAATATAATTCTCAGTATGCCAGAGAATTAGCTTTTTCCTCCTTCAAATCCAGTGAAGTCATATTACCCAAGATATATTGAAGAACATTTTACATCCATTTAAGACAAAAAGAAAAAAAAAAGAAAAGAAAACCAGCTCCATTCTTGTGCTATATCAAGGCATACTAAACCCTTACTAGTGTGTAGAAAATACGATGGATGAAAATCACTGATAATTCAAAATATGTTCTTCATAGGCGAGCCTAGACTACCATACATGGCACACAATACCAACAGAATGAAGAATCATCTAGGGAGGGTTCTTAGCTGTATGACATAAGGGAGAAGAGAATCCGGTTCCCCAGTTAATAAGCTACGAAGAAAAAGGTTCTGAACAGGTCACCATTTGGAACTTTGGGAAATCTTTTAAAGTCTTTCAGGAAAACAGGAACACTCGAGTATTTAAATGGTGCTCTCTTCAGCGCCCCTACCTAATACGTCTATTAAGTACAAGCATGCAAATATAGGTCAATCCACAGGCACATAGGATCCATGTTAAGAACAGTAAGATAGCTGTGATGAGCAGCACCAACAATTTTGATGACTAACACTCAAAAATGTGGCTTTCTGAATTACTAAATCAAAATCCTGAAGAAAGTTCCTGCTAGTTTTCGTCACACTGCTAAACACGAAAGTAGGCATGTTTTCCCCCCCCTTATTTTAGCTGAGCTCAAAGAATTTTTACAATATTTAGTAAGAAAAAAATTAAAGTATTTCCCCTTTTTAAATTTACACAGACGTTTAATTAGCTTTATTTACAGAGCGGTTTTTCAGTCTCCAATCGTGCCTAGATAGCATCATCAGGCAAGAGTGCCAGTTTTAAAAGAGAATCTATATAGAATCCTAAAAATAACAGATGGTGATGCTCCTCCGAAGGGGCAAGCTGGACAACCGAAGCAGCTCTCTACATGGTTCAGTTACTCAGGAGTAATTCTGTTGCAGTCTCTACATCCCATGATTTTGAAGACAAGGCCACTATTACTGCATTCTGCAATGAGAAAACAAACAGTAAGGTAAACAGGTAACAGCAACATTTCCAGTGCGTGAGCCTGCAACTGAGAAATGAAATTTATGTTGGTTCTTCACCCAAGTCTTAACTAATCATTTTCAGAAAGGTTATTTCAAAAAGGGCGAGGGAACTTCAGATTTACTAGTTTATTCTTTCACTAACAACGAAGCATCTCAGAACTCCAACTGCAGCCAAACCGTATGACTGACCCTCCAAATTGAACAGAAATGGCCAGTTTTACTTCAACGTCTGAATGGCTCCCTATATTGCCTAACTGCTTGCCCCACTCCTACTGGAAAACATTCAAGTTACCTATCATAGAACGGCTTGGGTTGGAAGGGAACCTCATGGATATACTTACCCTATCAAAGCCCATAGCACAAAGGTTTTCTATTTTTCTGGTGTATTCTGGACTAGAAACTGGTGCTCCAGCATACACATGTGCCCAAAGTCGAGCTGTCTGTTTAAACATTTCTGGATTTTGTTTGTACTATACAAAAGAAAGAGAGGGGAGAATGGGAAGTTAAGTCAACTCAACGGTCCAACCAAAGAGTACGATGATGCAGCAGGTTCCATTCCCAATCCTCTCTGTAACATCTTCAACACTATTTCAATCCTATTTCACACTGATCCAACTCAAGTTTTTGAAACAATGCGTGGAGGTGAGCATTACATGTAGCTGAAGCTTATGCAAGCATTCAATTGGATGCGTTTGCCTTTGTGAAATGACGCACTACAGGTGTGAGTACAATCCAGTGCTAGCTCTGCCAACACAACGCTCTCGACTGCAGCGACCAGGAAGGAGTGCAGCGCTGTATTTGGCACAGCTACCAAACGTTTCTGCTCAGCGCAGCAAAGCATGAGCTGCTCCCACGTCAGCAACTGGTGAATGTATGCATTGTGCTGAACTTTTGTGTATTTCTCTCATCACTGAAGTGACGCCTGGTTTTGCACACTGCAAGGACTTTGCATTTCAGGGAGGGCTGACTCTTACTACATGCCCTCCTACTCAAAATACGGATGTAAGGGCAGCTTGTTACCATGAGAAAGGGCTGAAAAACCAGGTGAATGTGTAAGAAACTAGAAATTGCAACTCTCTGCAAGCTACTGTTAATCAGACAATAACATTTAAATACACTGCATAATTTTATTTTGCACCAATCTTGTCACTAGCAGGTTTTTCAGCAAACAACACAATGACCATTGTAAGAGCTTTTGCCCTGTGCCAGGAACTCAAAAGCCAGGAAAGTGGGTCATCTGTCATGAACTGTATACAACAAAGCAAGACGACAGCTTCCTGTTCCAGCAACCTTCATCTAGAAAATCAAGTTTTAAATCTCCATAACCATACACTGCCTTTATTCAAACCATATTTTTTTTCCTTAATCATTCCTCCTGAAAAAGTTTTTCCATCCTTACCTATATAATAAATATTAGCACTAAGATGATGTGACAAGATACAGGAAAATGCACGATTTTAGAGTCATTTTAAGGACAGAAACACAACCAACTATCATTCTAGTATTTTATCCATACATCTAAACAATCATACCTGCAAAGTACTGTCCAAGTCAGTACTTCTTACATTTCATTTCACTTTTCCTACAGCACAGTCCCAAATTCAGCTGCATTATGAGCTGTGTACACCTCCTGCTAACTCTGTTCCCCACGAAGAACCCCACATAGTCACTGACTATTAATGGTGTTAAAACAGAGAAGATAACCTACTGGTAGAAATAAGTTACATAAACAGTGCTCTCTAATACATTTTTAATCTTTACAACTAAAGAAGTGAGGAAGCAGTAAGGGTAGCATCAGTAACATCCCCAAACAATTCTGTCTTAAGAAAACTTCCTATTCTATGTTTTAAGGATTTGAAAACATTGGCAGATCTAATAAGCAACAAGCTGAAGTGGAAAGAATTTAAGTTGTGTTCGCATAACTGCATTTTATTCAGAACTAGCTTTCAGTTTCCTATAAGTAGAACTCCTTTTTTTAGTAATCTGGCTTCTCACTGAACTGAGAAGCACACAAGAATCTCTTACTGATGTCTCTGTATTGGGAGTCACAGTCAATTATGCTGCTGTACTTAAAAAACCAGCTGTAACCAGTCAAGTATGATGAAGTAGTTTTGGCACCGGACAGCATCTGAAGATGGCAGGTACCTGAAACCACTGCCATTATCTGAGCAGGAGTAGAACACTGTGTTCACTCTGAGATTCAGCCAAAACATGCGTAGGAAAATACCTCCCTGTACCTCATCTAACAAATAATTACGTAAATTAGCAAAGTAAAACAAAGATGAGCACACAGGATAAATAATTCCTTATTAGATTTTGTTTTCAAGAAGATTTTTGGGGATAGTGGAGGGGAACAATAGGATGGGACAAGACAAGTGACCTGGAAAAAACAAAGACCGTGCACCATTATGTGGAAGAACTGGATGTTAACCTTCACCTCTCTCAGAGGAATTATAACAACTTTCTACTTACACACGTGTGTAACTAAAGGCCAACCTGCCGGCACAGCAGATTGGCCCTTCACATAGATATCTGTAGGGGACAAACTGAATCTTCCCCACACCAGCCGTGCCACAGTCCCACCTGACACCCCCAAAGACCACCTGGAAAACTGCAATCCAGAGTCCAGAGAGTTTCATGAAGTTTTCTATCTGAGGGAGAACAATTTCCAGCTGAAGTGTTTCTATGAGATTGTTGGAATTTTACTTTCAGCAGCAGAATAGGAAGCTCTATTTTTGTTCTTTGTGAAAAAGGAAAATGTAAAACAGCTTTTCCACCAATGGACAAAATGAGTTTCCTCTGTTCTCCACGTTTCCCTCTAAAACCAGACAGCTTTGATAAACTGATTAACTATCACCCTACATAGACTAGAGTTTAGGAGAAGGGAGTACACGCTTCTTACCCTTTCCTGGAGCGTGCTGACTTACAGGAGATACAGATGAGATTGATGCTGGAAGAACTTTTTACTTGCTTGAGTTTTTTTTGTTACTGAAATATAACCTTATTATCAGCCAAATGCAAAGCAAAGCCTTCTCTCTCTCTCCCTCTCTCTCTCCCCCCCCATCCCCCCAAAGAAAAAAGGAAAGATACATGCATACTTGGGATTTTGCTGAAAACTGTCAAATGATTGAAGCCATAGAAAGATTGTTCCCATCTTTAATCAACATTTTAAATAGCACCAGCTATTTTTTTTTAATAAATTGTTGCTACTGTCTGAAGAACAACAAACCTTGCTGATTACATTAGAATTCTATTAATACGTATTTGACTAAAATAGTTAACCCAAGTACTGGCAAAGGTAAAACACAGAATGCTCCATGTAGATTAAACGTGTCTCACGAATAGTGACTTGCAGCATTTAATCCTAAGATTTTTGTTTTTAACAAATCAACACTCAGCAGTATTCATACTAATCTAGAAGAGGAGCTACAGGCCAATTCAAATCCAATAAATAAATAGCTCCAGAATAAAAACAAATGTTTGTGTAAGTCTTAGATTTTCACAGAATCATAGAAAGGCCTGTGGTGAAAAGAACCGTAATGATCATCTGGTTTCAACCCCCTTGCTATGTGCAGGGTCACCAACCACCAGACCAGGCAGGCTGGAAGGAAAGTTTAAAAGGAAAGTTAAGTTGGAATCCATTTTACTATGCATAGTTACCTCCTGACATTTCTTACAAGCTAAATAAGGAACCAAGAAACAAATACATCTTTTCACACTGCACAGTAACTGCTATTTACTTTGGAATCCAGAGAGTAAAGAACAAAACACTGTAGTAACTCACACCTACTGTAAAGCAGTTTTCAAATAGATGATTGAAAAATCTTTACTGACTGACCTTATTCCAAACTCAGTTCGAGTTAATGAAGGTTACAGAAATGTTAGCAATTCAGTCAACTCAGCTTCTTACCTGGTTTGCCACTACTGCGTCTTGCGGATCGTCTGGTTCTGCAGCAGCCAACAATGCTTGCAGAGATAACAACACTGTTCTTAGAGTCATTGCTGCTGCCCTGAAATTAGAATTTGAAAATGACTTTACCAAATCCCACACCTGTAGACACCTCTGCTGCTACAGTCATAAAACAAGGGATATGAGGATATATAGAGATATTTTAAATCTGGAAGTTAGAACCTTCAACTAGTACAGGTTAGAGGTAGTAAAACACAGTTTAATTGAAGTGAGTTTTTAAATGGGGACGTGATCATTAACGATGCTCTAAGTATGTGGAAAAGAACTCTTGACCTACACAATTGATCTTACCCACATCACAGAATTCATTTCACTTGCTCAAAAAAAGAAGTTAGCTTGAAGTTTGTGTTGTCCTTCCTTACTACCCATAACAGCACCTTACTCAATCTCTGGGTACCAAACTGTCAGCCAACGTGTGCTCCCTCTGCTGGCACTCTTTATAAGAAAATAGCATATACAGAAACAGTGACCTTTATTTAAAATTCTTATACCAGATAAGGAATTTTACATTTGACATCTTTTGCATTGCATCACTTTACATTCCTTCCCCCTAAAGAAGTTAACCATTTACATAGTGAATCACTACCACAACAAAAAAAGGTTGGACAATTACAGAACCATGCAGCTGAAGGTAGTCTCCCAACTTTGTCTCATTTCAACATGATACACTACTGACAGTTCCAACCAGTCGTCCCGGTTTCAGCTGGGATACAATTCCAGACAGTGTAAGAAAACGTTTCTGTAGAAACGATGGTGCTCTAAAGGCATTTAATGGCTTCTCTGAAAGACACTTGTTGAAGAGAACGTGGCTCTGGAGTCTAAACCATCCATCTCCTAAGAGTTCATCATTTACCTTCATCTCAACGTCTATCGAGAATAAGAGACTTCAATTGCTTTTAAAAGGGAAAACCAGGCATGTATCTAAAGTCAATCATCACTCAGAAAAGAGGTATCAAATCATTATTTGCATGTTAATCTGTAGAGTTGTAACATTTCAAATGTACAGTTTCAATAGATTTTGATCATGAACACCATCTCTGATCTACCATTCCAGCTGGCACACGTTGGCAGCCACATCAGGACCCTGCTGTGCTGAGCGGTTCAGCAGACTCAGTTGTTGCGCTGCTGGCACAGACAGATCTTCAAGGTAATACACAAAACTATTCAACCTTGTACTAGTGGAAAAATGCAACATTTTAGATTTGAGTTAGACAGTTACAATACATTAAATGCTAAAGGAACGTTGTGGAGAAAAGCATAATCAATCAACACAAGTATCAATTAACAGAAAGTAGCTTCTCCTTTTCTGGAAGGCTGGAAGTCAGGGCAGCAAGTTTGTTAGAATGGTAGAGAGGAATTTCATCTGTTGGTCCAGATAGCATTGCTGTCTGTTTCTTTTTGTATTTCCAGCATCAGATTTCAGAAGCTTGGCTGTTTTCCAGTACTGACGCGCTGTCTCGAGGTACGGCAGAGTGCATCTATGCTGCACTCTGTGTCACGTAAGGGGTCAGAGGTACGTCTGTGACACTCGAGTATTGTACTCCTAGCTGTACACACTAAGGCTTTCCTCCTATGTTGCTAGCCAGTCCAATTAGGCATTCTTCCCTAATTATGTCAAATTCTTAAATATTTTTCTTAGAAAGTTAAGTTAAAAAAAACCCACAACTTGATAATCACTGAGATTTCACAGTGTAATGTTCCACATCAAAATGCAAGTGAGAAGAAGCATCCCATGTGCTAGAGCTTTTAATTAGCACACATTGTCTCATTCCAACTGCTACATCAGTTTCAAGTCCCCTCAAGCACTCAGCTTCATACACTTAACTCTTCAAAACATAACCCAAAAAAACTGAAAAGCCCTAACAGTTTTACAAGATCTGTATTCTAAGAAATCAAGTATTTCAGCTTCCTAGCTGAATGCTTCTTTAAATTATAAAGCTGGGGATTAACTAGAAGGATGCTTGATCCAATAAGAACACCTAGTTACTGAAACGCAGCCTCAGCTGCATGAAGAGATCCTAGCTAACTCAGTAAACTGCATACAAACCATCTTGCTTTTCCATAGCTAAATCACACACACCAGAAGACTGACCCTGAATAACAGAGTTGAAGTGTTTTTGCATTACACGCACCTGTGCTATTTTCATAGAATCATAGAATCACCAAGGTTACAAAAGACCTAAAAGATCACCCAGTCCAACCATTCACCTATTCCCAATAGCTCCTACTAAACCATGTCCCTCAACACAACATCCAGTCTTTCCTTGAACACCCCCAGGCTCGGTGACTCCACCACCTCCCTGGGCAGTCCGTTCCAGTGCCTGACCACCCTTTCTGAAAAGTAATACTTCCTCATGTCCAGCCTGAATCTCCCCTGCCGTAGCTTGAAGCCATTCCCCCTGGTCCTATCACTAATGACACAAGAGAAGAGGCCGACCCCCAGCTCACTACAGCCTCCCTTCAGGAAGTTATAGAGAGCAATGAGGTCTCCCCTGAGCCTCCTCTTCTCCAGGCTGAACATTCCCAGCTCCTTCAGCCTCTCCTCATATGGCCTGTGTTCCAGACCCCTCACCAGCTTTGTTGCCCTCCTTTGAACACGTTCCAGGGCCTCCATATCTTTCTTGCAGTGAGGGGCCCAAAACTGGACACAGTACTCGAGGTGCGGCCTCACCAGTGCTGAATACAGGGGAATTTTACTCTTACAATCTTCCTCTTCTCTGCCATCTTGAAATCAATCTGCCCAACACATACATTGCTGGCACAACCCACAGGATAACTGCTAATGTTAAATGACTCTTGATGCAATGTACTGACTTCTCTGGCACCCAGGTGTCAACGGACCACCAAACTTTCTCACCTTTCTAAGCTCAAATGGATGTAACCACTTCCATCTTCTTGCAGGGAATTTCAGAAGCTACCACAGCCACTACACATGCTATTAACCCAAGGTCCTCAGTTATGTTGTTTTATTACAATGTCTAGGATTATTTGTTTTGGGGAGAGACACTTCACATGAACTATCAGCAAGTGTAACGGACACCGCAATTACACTGTCACCAAAAAAAGCTCTTCCAAACTGTCTCACAGAAATCCTTCTACTTCAGGTGTTTGAAAATACTACCATTACTTAAACTGGACTACACAGGGCTCGTGGAGTTCTGACCACACGCGCTGCTTTTACAAGCAATTTACTTTCATTTACACTGTACCTTCTAGGAGCAGAAAGAACAGCACAGCAGGGGCACAACCAAGAACAAGAGGTGCCTTGGAGTCCCAGCATGGCTCCTGCTGGCTCTGCCTGTCCAGACTCATCTCTTGTTTGTAGACTGATATGAAGCATCTTGGGACCTGAACTTCTGACACTCCAAGTTCAAAAGTAAAAGTCCAAGTTCTTCATCTCATGCATAAGACAGCCTTCATTTGACACAAGCACCGGAAGAAATATTTCTAAGTTATAATAGAAAACCAGCTACAGTTTTAGCTTTTAATAGTGTAAAAATACACACACACTTTTTTTTTTTTTTTTTAATGGAAGGAAAATCAGGTTTGTGGTTAAAGGCAAAAAAAAAAATATCTGACATTTACTGTAACTACCATATACTCAACATTTCCTACCTTTAGGACATGAATTAGCTTTCCTGATCAAAAGGCCAAAAGTCTTTTTATTTTCTACGTAGATGAGGCTTAATTTTTTCAGAAGCAAATTAAGATTCCCAGAAGAAATTGGAAAGACAGCTAAAAATAGATTCTCATTCTCCAATTTCCTTAAAAAAAAAAGAAAAAAAGAAAAAAAAAAAGCCATCTTCTTTCTTCCTATTGCCTACTTCTGGGATAATAAAGTGAACAGAAATGACTGCTCAGAATTACATTCACAGATGTCAGAAAAAAGCAGCAGGACCTGTTCCTCATCAGCAAAAAGCAGAAACAAGTGTCATCATCAGTTCTGGAGAAAAGCAGGCTGAGAGTGGCACAGAACAAACAAACAAGAACACACCCAGCATCACCTCCCCAGAAGCTGGACAAGAATGTGCTGCAAGGAAAGTTGAGGATTTTCTTTAAAACCAACTTCCAAAAGAAAGAGGTTTTCCACATTTTCCAGTGTCCATCAGCAGCCTATTTTTCAGGAATACAATTTTGAACAAAATACTTTGAACTCTTCTCATACCTGAAGCTCATTTTCAGGTGTGGATTTATAACTCAACCAATCATCAAGTTGAAGCAATTCCCTTTAGCAATGGAAGCTGCAAGTTCGGGTTTTAACTCCCTCCCCTCCTCTTTGCCAGAGGCAGAGTATTCTATCACTCCTGACAGACTTTTGTCTGATATCTTTGCCTCCTCGATTTCTTGGAAACCAACTTTGATGCCTCACTGCATTTGCTGATTGGCATGCTAAAAAGGCTCATCTTTCATAGGTCGTATTTGCGTAGGCCATCATTCCTGTTATTTACTCTGGTTTTTCCCATGGTTCCCATCTTCCCTAGAATACAGCGCTCAGAGCAGGCACACAAATCCACCTGAAGTCTTACCAATTATAAATAAGCAGGCAGTTACCTGATGCAGGTGAGCCTCTTGCACCCCAGTCTTCTACTTGCCTTCTACCTCAGGACCTCTTCAACTTCACTGTAACCTTTGACCCTACCCCAAAATGCTCCTAAGCCTCTAGGCAGGCCTGCTACCTTGAAATCTATAAAACGGGTGGGAAATGAGAACTTACAATTGTAATCCCCACCTTGCAACTCCTATCCCCCAAGCAGGCTTCCTGATGGCATGGCACTTGGTAAACGTGCAAGGACAGTGCAGGGAAGCACTCTGCTAAGGAAAACCTGGATGCTGATAGATATGCAAACATGCACTTTTTTTTTTGTTTAACATCTTGGGGGCATTTCCATTAGAAATAAGCAGCCTCAGCTGGGGATGAATACAATGATAATATTGAAAGACATGCCAACCCAGTTGTGCTCAGCATGCCTGAGGTAAGAAATCTCCTACCTTTTGATGAGCTGAAAGAGTCCTAAGAGGATTACGAAGCACTCTCCCTTTCCCCACATCATCTTTAAAGGCTAAGTAATTTTCTATTAAGGAAGATTTTATTTATGTTCTGTACATTCCTATTTGAAAAGTCTCTCTGTTACTCCACCTCTGAGAGGCAACCCAGCAGAACAGCAGGCACAGCTGCAGCCAGCAGATTGCTGTTCCAGCCTGTCAACCAGGCATGGCTACTGGAAACATTTATTATCATTACTATTAAATAATCTGCAGTATTTATTCAATCTGTAGAATAACTAAACTTGTTCATCCTAGAGAAAAGAATTTGTACCAGGGGTTTACAGAATTTGGAAGGGGAGAAGAAATGAATGAGGCCTTTGAGTGAAAGCCTGTTGTACAGTCACTATTTAGAGGAAAAATACAAGACTGGATGGAGTGACATTGACTTTGGGATGGGGGGGAAGTGGCAGGTTTACTGCAGAGTTCCTTCAAGCAGTGTTAATATTCTCTGCCTATTTTTTCAAAGCTCTGGAAAGGCTTAGTGTCCCTCCAACAAACTGAGCAAAAACTCCAGCAGATTTAGATGCCCAAATGATTACTTGCTGGCTGTTGCTTATGTACCTATTAAAGTTATATTATCTCTTATAACGAGTTTGATTATCAACTAAAACTGAAGGTTGAATGCTCCAGTACAGCCACTACCAAAAGAAAATATTCTAATAACTCATTTTTATATCACTTGTCAAAACCATAACAGCTAAAAGTTTTTTGTAGCAACGTACACAACCACAGCATGTCTGCTTGAAAACTCACTGCTCAAGGGATTCATGCAAAACAACTTCCAAATAATTTAGCTCTCAGGTTTCAGTTGAAAGTATTGATACAACTTATATTTAAGAATAAAATTCAGGGATAGAATACTAGCCTGGAAGATAAATGCAAGCTACATTTAGTGAAACCATAAAAGAGTCAAATCAGCCCAGCATAAATGGTATTCTTTCCAAAAAAAATAATAATAACAATAATAATCACATCCCCATTTTAATTCTACTGGTAAATAGTAGTAGTTCTGCAAACAAACTGGCATAACTGGTATTTACACATCTAAATACAAAAATCCACAGCTGCAGAGAACGTCAGCATCAAGCATATACTGCAGAGAAAATTTCATTAAACTCATTAAACCATCTAAAGGTATTACTTTGCAAGCTGATAGAAGCTCCTGCCAATATACATAACAATATCTCAACCACGCTCATTAGAATAGAAGACTGTTACCTTGGGTTGGGAGAGTAGGGGAGGGATGTTTTAACTGTTCAAACACATGATAATAGCTGTATTTGCACTCACCAGATATATGAGCATTATCATTGCATTATCAGCAAGACACAAATGGTATGGTATCAGTGCTCCTTGTACCAAACAGTTTAAATACACATAAGGCAAGATCTTCTTCAAATATCCCCATTTTGAATACATCTTGGTGAGGGAAGGTAAGAACATTCTCTTTATTGGCAGATGTAGATTAATAGATCTGTGCAAGATCTAGCTTCCAAAGATTACAAGAGCACAAGTCAAATCTCCTCTGCTTCCTTTCCAAATTTCAGTTCATTATTTCTTTGGGCCTTCATGGTCGCCCATTGCTTTTGATATTTTATGTTTTTGTTGTTATTTTTCCATTTATTTGTTTTAAAGTTTCATCAGCAACTGACGAGGCCAGAAACTCATCTGAAACTTCTTAGCAGCAGCTTTGGGAGAAGACTGAACTGCGAGAATTTTTCAAGTCACAGCATTTGGCACTGCTGAAAGAAGACCTGTTCCAGAAATGGAAACAGAAATGTGGTCTCCTGAGCCCCAGTCTGCTGGTACAAAGGCAAGAACACCAACCCTTATTCACAGGAAACACTAATTCATGAACATATTTAAGTAATACGAAAATAACTGAACTTTTTCATTTGTTAATAGACTTCTGGTTTTATTTCAAAATACAATAAATAAGGAAGACCTCTGCTAAGGATTTCTTCCTCAGAGTTTTCAACAGAAAATGGCAGATGTCATTTTTGAAAAACAAACAGAAAAGCGTTCAGGAGTTTCAGTACAGAAAGATTTAGCCTTGAAGATACTTGAAGTCCCAAGTCTAGGTACTGCGAGTAATGCAACCAGACAGGCAATAAAGGAGCAGCAAAAGATGAGAGGAAAAAAACCAAGACCCTGAACTTCAGCGTTTTGGACAAATTCTTCTGAGGACAGTATTAATGACTGCAATGAGGGCCCCTGTTAACCACCTTTGCTTCTAGAAATAAATGCTCACTATGTAAACCTTGCCTCAAATGAAAGAACCCTGCTCTCCCAGTGAGACTTATGTTCAAATCAGTGAAAGGATCCAGTGAAAGGATCTGTTAAAAACACCCCCTAAAGTCTGTTATTTTGCCAAAGCCAAAAACCAACCTACCAATGAAAAAACCTCCAGTAGAGAAACCAGCCTGCCAGCTCTCTGCCCAACAGCTTTTCGCTGATCTGCCTTATGATCTCTCAGGAAACTGCACTTGCACAGCTGAAGAGCCATTAATCTCCAGTACAACTGTAAGGGATGGTGCCAACATAAAAACACTGGCTTTAGCTATATAAGTTGCACAGTGCACCATGCTGAAAGATTCTATTGCCTAAAATATGGCTAAAGTACTGCAAGATTGTAAGAAAAACCAAGCAGTTCCAAAAAACGAAGACAACAAGTAATAATTATGTATGCTTTTCACAATTCATTTTGCTAATTTATACCATACTTTGCCACACGAACAGCAAAACTTCTCATCATATAAAAATAAGAGTATATATCCCATGTGTCAGCTGCAAGACCTGAACTCAAACCTTCTGCTCTGGAGTTTCTCTTCCAAGCCCCGCTAACGCCTGCTTGGCCAATACTAGTCTTGATGAAGCTGGGGAAGTAACAAGCATTTGAATCTTATGTGATTTAGACAGTGATATTATCTAGCTGGGAATTACAGTCCCATTTCTTTGGGACAGATGTGTAAGAGTGAAATTCATCTTTCTTTTCTTTCATTGGATATCAGACAACAACACAATCTGTGCACACATTTCACACTGCTTGAAGATTTTATCGCTTAGGGAAAAGTGTATGCAGTGAGTTCATCTCCTACTGTTTGGACAGATTTATTCCACAGGTTTGGGCTATTAAAACATTTTTAATTAACACAACAGTAACAAATAATCAGTCAGCAACTGACCAGCAGCTAAAAGGCAAAAGTTTAGAAGTTCAAATCATAAGTATTATCAACCATAACTGAGATAGAACCAGTATAGCAGTCTCTTTTCCCCTTCCTATTGTCCAGCTGTTACCTTTTACACTCCCAGATTCCCAGCTGTTCCCCACACATTGTTTCAGCTCTCTCAGAATTAATTTCATTTGGAAGTGCAAACCAAAGTCAAAAGGAAGTACTTATTTTTTCTGCTTTCATCTCAGGAGGCTGAGATGCTCAGAAGCTCAGAAGGCAAAAGGTAGCACTTGTTACTGGAGAACTAAAAAACATCAGCAATGAAACGTACACATTGATCTGTGAAGAAGCTCATTCATCAGTTAATATCTATTCAATACTTCCCAAAGTTACTTCCCAGCCATTTCATTATAAAATGCTGCACTGAAATACTTTATGCTTTAAGAATGTATGAAATTACAAACACAAATTGAAAAGCAACGAGCTGCTGCTTTCCATCTAGGACACCGGTATGCTTGATTTTCGCACATTGAAGCCTATATGGAATCTTACCATTGATCTTTCAGAATATCCAAACAAATGGCCCCAGTAACTGAGCTAATATTAGGATGCCATATTTTGGTGATAAACCGCACCTAAAATACAAGAAAATTTCAAAATGCAATGGTTATTACATGCAGTATACGAAGTAAACATCTTTAAAATGTACCATTTCTAATATTATGAAGTAACACTGATTTAGGAAAGATCAAACTGAAAACTAAAAACAAAAGCTAAGACTATGATACGACCTTTTCCAGGAGGCCTCATGTCCGCAAGTCCATTTGTTACATACAACCTTGCTTTACTCAGAAACAGACTACTGCTCCACTGAGTGCCAAAATCATCCCCAGCTGTTTTCCCATATACTGTCACATGGGCACATCCTCACATCACACAAAGCCACTCAGAAATACCCTCCAGTAGTACCAGTGTTTAAACACAAGCATATGGTGAAAAGCAGACACATCTTCAGCATTGTGAAAAGTCAGCTTAAGTGCTGGAAAGCCCGCTCAGTTAAGGCATATCCCTGAACCCTAGACACAGGCACTGGATCTCACTGTTCAGCTGAATTGCTGGTAGCTGCCAGAGCATCAAAAACGTTCCCTTGGTGGATGCTATACTTCCACAAACACCCACTCCTACCATCTTGCACAACGACCTTCAACAAACCCAAACCTCACTAAATCAGAATTTTTTCTCTGCTGTTGGAAAGACCTGGTCCCAGCACTTGCTCATCGATCACGTCCACATTTTAGCACTAAAGCGTATGCACACTCCTGAAGCATACAGAAGGTGATTTCTTGAAAGACGCCGAGAAAATTAGAATCCGCATTTTCCTATATGAGCTGTCCTCTGAAAGAATGTATGCAAACCCATGGGTGCCCACTGAATTTTCTTCAAACCTCTTAGTTGCTTTTAACTGCCTTATAATGACTTTGACCTGTTTCGGTGTTTCTCATCTCCACCTCCTCACTCCAAACTCCTCCCAATCATTTTATGAACAGCACAGACTCACTCTCAACTTCTGCCTCTGATCTGCAAGCAAATCAGTGCAGCCAACACATTACTGGCCAAGTACTACAGCAAAACAGTCTACATACAGGACTATAATAAAATCAAAACAATCAGTGTATGAATAGCTGACACCATAACAGTTCTGCTTTCCAGGACAGAATGTAAGAGCCCACATCTGCTGAGCCTCTTATTAACTAGCTCAACTCTGTACACGTGAAACGCAAAAAACCACCAGAAGGCACCATGTAAATATTAAGTATTTTCTCACAGAGAATGCAAGCTAACAATGGCTGTCAAACCACATTCTGAACAAGATAAAGAAATCTTCCAGATGAAAGGAGGGGCTAGATACAAGCCAAAAGGCCTCCAGTTCAAGACCATCTACTCCAGAATAAGCAGTACTGTGCTACAGTGCACTGAGTTTCTAACAGCTACCTATAAGCTTTAGAAATGAGCATCAAGCCCTGAAGCAGCAATTAAACCATGGTCCATAGACTTATCTTTCAGGGCCTATGATTGGTTTCAGCCATTCTTATTTTTAGCTCCCCCCAGAACACATGCTGATGAAAGAACTGAAACCAACAGACATTTCAGGAACAAGAAATTACTGTCTTTCACTCCAGACCCAAGGAAGTCACTCAAAGGACAAGAGCTAAGTGACACTGCTCCCCCTCCTCCTCTTTCCCAGTCCCTTCCCATTATTACATACCAGGGTGAAAATAATCACAACTCAGGACACATTCTTAGCCAAAAACATCTTTCAGACTTAAACAGAAAGCCAGTCAAGAAGCTGTGAGACAGCTGTAAGACAATGCTGGAGTCTGCTAGCTTATCATAAGCCACTGAAGAAGGGACCAAACAAGACTACAGGAACATACAACTGCAGCTGCACACAGCTGGAGCAAACACAATCCTGAGCACTATTTGAGATGGAAGCAGTCACAGATTGAAAATACCAGAAAGACACATAAAAGATGTGGTAAAAGTGAAGGGCAGCAAGCTGCAGAAGTTTAGCACACTTTTCCCTTCTCCCAAGCTTGTGCACACGTTTTATGCACTCCTTCAGAAAAACTGCAGTAAAACCCTACTATTTCTATTGGTCTTTAGGTCATAAAATAACTGCAGCTCCAGCCGTATTTAATTATTAACAGAAAACTTGGAAGGTTAAACCTAAGACTTTACCAAATATAGTATATGGGGTTTAAAGAATTAAAAGAACAAACAATTATCTATTACAGCATTTCTTTAGCAGCTGCACAGAGCAGCAGGCAAAAATCAATACCCTCTACATCAAGAGAAGCTACCCAAAAACTGCATCTTGCCAAGAAGAAATTACAAGAGGGTCAATAAACCACTGCCCAGAATTTATCAATTTGTACTCTGAAGAATAATCAGTGGATTTCTGATTGGATACAGTTACACATCCTGCATGATTTCTACCTTGAAAAGACAGTTCCAGTCTAGAGGAGAATCAAAAAAGGAAGATGAGTACTGCAAAGCAAATGGGAACATAAGCAAATAACTAAGAATGATCAAAAATAAATTATTTTACAACAAATGTTGATCTTACCTTAGGAGGATTAAATGGATATGTTTCTGGAATTTTTATCTCTAGTTGATATCTTCCACCTTCAGAAAACAAAAATAAATAAGAAGTTATAACTGAATATTAATTAAGCTTAATCTTATCAGCAAAACTTAGGCTTCTAAAGGCTCACATTTTCCAGCAATTTAAACTCACCAGTAGGCATTACCTAGAAGGTTCTTCTAGATTTCATATACTTTATACATAAATGAATGTTAATGACATCTAATAAAGTCCTATCAGTGTATGCAAATCAGAATCTATATTCCTTAGGTACGTTACTGTGTACATTCACCTCCAGTTATTTCCAAAATTATCATTTCTCTATTCTGTGTAAGCAAAACATACTAAAATATAAATCAGTACCCCAAAACAGACATCAAATGAAGCAAAAGGCCACAGGATTGACCAGGGTGAACACGGAATGTTATTTTGACTCTTTTCTGTCATCTATTAACTACCGATCAGATTTCCTGCCTACCCCCCATTGCTGAAATTAATTTCACTTAAGCATTCCAGGCCTGAGAACATTCAATAATGCCATCTAAGCTACCGTGCTTTGGGAAAAAAGGAGGATCCAGTGCTGTTCCCATTATGTTCAACATTACTGCCTGAAGATAGCATTTACAACTCCAGTGCAATTCAGTACTTCCAAATACTAGGACTAATAATACCACTTGTAGAATTACAGCATGTAATAAAGGACAGCATGAATCTGGAAGATGGAACTCTACTGCCCTTCTCTAAACACATTTTGTTTTCATCTGTCTGTTACTATATCATTATCTAAACATTCAAGATTCCCAGCTCAAACCATCTCTGCCTACTCATGCTCACTTGCCAGGAAGCAGCAGCATCATTTTAACGATGAAAAGAACAGAGCATAGCAAGACACAAACACCAATTTAGACACTTGGCTTTTATAGAAACTGAAAACATTGCTCCTCACTTGCTAATTTTCCCCCTCATTCTACCACCACTCTTTCTGAAAGAAACCTTTCCTTTTTTTTTTTAATTCCTAAGTCATCTACAGCCCTATACACAAGCAGATCTCAAGGTCTGCGTGCAAAAAAAAAAAAAAAAAAAAAAAAAAAAGAACACTCTGAACAGCTCAAGTCCATGACATCTTTTTAGCTGTGCCAAAAATACACATTAGAAGATACCAACATCGCACTGTTTTAAATACAATACAGTGTAATACAGTACACTTGAAACTGGCTATGGTTTAGTATCTGCTGATATTTTACAGAGCTGATGTTTTACAGTGCCTACTACAAATGCAGTTCCCTCTATTAATTCTACAGTAACTCCAAAAGATTCAGCAGAAAATATACCAGGGATAATAAGCCCCAAATTACCACCATTTCTGAACTGATTGCTTGCCTTTGCTTGCAGGGTAGCACGGGCAAGTATTTTTGAAGACATTTAGCACATCAACTTAAGCTCACTTCTTCGCTCTCTTTGAATGAGCAGCAATTTTTTCAAGAAACACAATTACACTGTTCCTAGATTACTAAAATTCATCTGTCCCTGCATGATTTCATGGCCACACCATTTCATAACACAATATAAGAAATCCTAGCCCTGGATATAACCATTTCTTCTGCATGCCATTAAGATGGTGCCTGTAAAAGACAGACTATTACAGCCTTCTCCACAATGGCCTGCTTGGCTGCCAGATTTTCCCAGCTGGGATGTACAACTCCAAAAGACTTTAAAATGGCAGGGACCAGTAAGCTGGCAATGTTACTTATTAAGCACAGTTGTTGTGCGCTGAAGTTTACAGCTAAATCCATGAATTTGAAGACAGAATAAACAAGTCTGGACAGTTGTTAACTTGATTTCCTCAGCACTAAGTTTAAAATGGTAAGATTTCTGCTGTTTTCTTTATTTTTTAGAAGAAGGGAGTATGCATTTGTATGATCTTTTCCCAGCATTTAATACATGAGCTCAAATTAACTGCTAATGGAAGAAATTCCTTCTGCACTATTTTTGGAAAGTACATCTCTTGATAGAGTTATACTAAGTTTTAGCAACCTTTCCTACGGAATTTACAGTCAGACATTCCTTCACTAACTGTGGTTCACATGCAAGCCTGGCTCGAAATTAATATCTTTATTACACAATGTGTAAAAACTATTGACAAGTTCTTGAATTCAAGTAAAACAGCAGCTGTTAATAAACTTATAAAGGTCCTCTCCTCAAAAGAGTGCTCTGAAGTGGAAAGCAGCAGTGTTTCAGTGGCAGTCGTGTCCTGTAATATTCTAAAAATTGATCAGTATGAGTTGACAACACTTGCAGAAAAACAAAAGCTGTACGTTTGTCAAGAATAGATTGCATTCCTCCTCTCAGTCATCCTGAGACCAATTAATGCCCCAATAAGGCCTACAAAAGAACTCTGTAGCAGCAGTTTGTTTCCAGATACCTCATCAGCTGAGGTCACTCATAAATATTATCGTTCTTTTACTTCAACAACAGCCCTAAAAACTCCCTCCTGTATCAGGGAAGGATCTGACTTGAATGGCCACGTCAGTTAGCCTCTCCCCATAAGGTACGTGTGGCATTGCTGTTCAGACTGTAGATGACTGAAATCAGTCAGTGATTACGCAGCACGCACTTCTGCTTTAGTCACAAAATATAAACTACACATGCTGGCAAGCCATCTGTAACTACATCAGAGAATAAATGCATCAAACCATGTTACAGAAACATTAGCACTTGAAGAACTCAAACATCAGGAAATGCCAGAATTTGGGCTGATGGAAACTTTAATTTTGCCTCTTGGTGCATTTACCTTGCAGATTCAAGTCAGCGTGTGGCCACATTATCGTCCTGCCACAGTAAGTGTACATAACAGTTCTGCCCTACTTCTCCTCAAAACAGGATATCTAGTATATCCTTTCAACTGCATCATTAAATGTACTCATTAGCATGGATGCAACTATGCCTGCACTTCCCACCAGAAATTTAGCACTAAACACAATGCCAGTTTTCATTAGCTGCACACACTGAATGTATGAACCCAGTGCTCCATTCCTGAAATTTTGGTCCAGCCGGAATTACCCAGCATTACACAGAGTCCAGTTCTGCAGACATGCATTAAAACCTTTTTTAGCCTCCTCATGAACTGATTTAAAGTTCTTAAGTTTTGTGACACACAGATACATCTTTCATTGTAACAGCTCTCAAACCATTTTCCAAACAGAAATAACCGAGATATTTCCTAGTATCCAAATACCTGCAACATAGCATCTTAAAGTAAGACTGGTTTTACAGCACCAACTATATTTTCAAAAGAATTACTCGACTAAGCAGAAGTACCAACTTCCAAGTAGGTTTACCAGGACAGTGCACTCATGTCTGCAGTGCAGTTCTTTCAAATTGAAAGCATGTTATAACCTGAAGAAGTCATCATCTTTGCAACTATTATCTTCTGTCAGCTAAACACTGGAGACTGATGACAGGAGGGCATGCAGACATGGGAGACGAGGGAGAACTGTTATTTGCTTGACAGAGGAACTCCAGGTCTGGGGTTCTGGAGGGGAATATCCCTAACACTACAGACAAGATACTTTCCACCTTTCTGCTCCCTCCCTTCCAGATTCATTTCTTTTCTTCTCAGCTTTAGGCACCTTCACCTCCTCCGATATCCTCCACCCTGTATTGGTTTATTACCTCCTCTTTTACTGGGTCCCAGCTGGGACTCTTTCACTCCAGCTGGGAGAGTGCTGGAGCGCACCAGCAGCTGTTAGCCTGAGAAGCAGCTCCAAGGGAGCTTCTCCCTGACACTGTGACAATCAGATTTCCAGCAGTAGCCACAGTGCTGAGTGCATGTACACTTGTACCTACAACACAGCTTTCAGGTATTTTCCCAGTTGAGAAGAATTTATCTTTCAGACCACTGATAAACAGCACAGATCTGAACAATACTGAGATCCCAATCTTGGCTTTGAGGCATGGAAAACTAGAACAAGTGAAAACTTGGAAAACCGATTAAGTTTTCATCAAAACAATTTGTCTGCAACAGTCCTTGGGACATTTTTGTTTACTGAAAGTTTAGCTAAAAATTCAAATGAAGTAGAACTTTTGCTAATACACCGTTTAGAGGTAACTAAAAAAAACCTTTTAAAAACCATCTTCACAGAATCACAGAATCACAGAATCACCCGGGTTGGAAGGGACCTCAAGGATCATGTAGTTCCAACCCCCCTGCCTAGCAGGGCCACCAAACGTACACATTCAGATCAGGTTGCCCAGGACCCCGTCCAACCTGGCCTTGAACACGTCCAAGGACGGGGCATCCACAACCTCCCTGGGCAGCCCGTTCCAGGGCCTAACTACTCTCCTTGTGAAGAACTTCCTCCTAACATCCAACCTAAATCTTCCCTCCTTCAACTTGGATCCATTTCCCCTAGTCCTGCTGTTGTCAGCCCTTTTGAAGAGTTTACTCCCCTCCTGGGTGTAGGTTCCCTTCAGGTAAATTTCCATCAGCTTCATGTTTATCATACACAGATAAGAGTGTCCACAGTTGTAAGCACTATGAGTTATTTGGTATCTTTATTCACATGCTCTATTAGCTCCTAAAGTTGGTTTTGTTTTGTTTTGTGTTTTTTTTAGTATGTATTTAATTATGTCCCTTTTTCCTGACTGAAGAAATGGGCGATTACTTGAATTGTGTGGCCACTGCTATCAGCTTTACCACACTAAAAAATCACTAAGGTTACTTCTGAAGACAGCTGTAGACACAATGTCCAATAGAGTCCCCCACTCCAGTATAAATTAATCCCAAATTTAACTTGTACTGTTACTCTGTCTGAAGAGAATGCCATTGCATTTTGAATGACCACATTTGACCACAGAAATGCACATAAAGTTATACCAGACTAAAACTTAGATTCTTGATGCTACATGGCTAAGATGTCTAAAATTATTAATGCTAGATAAAGCCAGCATTGTATCAGTTGTACCACACAGCTTGTACCTGTGCATTTGATATTGGACAGCCTGTCCTGCTGCAGAAAAGGTGCACAAGGCAACACATGTTAAACGGCTTAAAAAAAACTTTTCTATTAAAAAAAATTAACATTTCCAAACACGTAGCTCTTAATTTTTATGTTAATTAATTTTACAAACAAAGCATCTTAAGAAACACGAAGCGTACAGCAACTGTATACATAAAAACTTTACTTGCCTTCATACGGTGTATCCGGAGGTCCTGCTATTTCTCCTCTTAATTCTGTAAAATTCTCATCTACAAGATCTACTTTAATTTGATTTTTGCTCGTCTTAAAAACAAACAGAGAAAGAGAGTCGTAAGTAAGCATTTAACACAGATTTCCCCACAAATATACTACATATTTTTGAACCGCTTAAGTTTTTTAACATGGTGACCTAACGCTGGATCTTCCAGCTGGAGTCCTCCTCCAATAAAAATAATCTGTGAAGCATTAGCAGCATCATTAATTTTCTTTATATTATCACGAAAATAAGCAAAACAACTCAGCAGTATCTGAAGTTATTTTTTTTATTAGTTACATTTAAATCCTGATCGTTCTGTTAAACCAGCTAAAACTACGCTGGCTGAATTACATGCTGTCTTTTTTTCTGGTTTAGAGCTACTAGAATAATAATAGACATCATTGTCACTTTCACTGGAATAAGACAGACATCCCATGTGGAGCTCACTATTTTTGAACAAGATGATGATCTAAACAGAACACTGGAGTCTAAAGATCATGTTTATCTTTAATATTTAGGCATAAGGTATTATTTATTTATACTCTTGAATTTCATTGTCACCTCCTCAGCATTTTCACACCCATGCCTGCAAAATAAAAACACTATTTTCATACAGAGAAAACATGCCTTCCAGAAACGCTCCTGATGCTTAACCAGAGCTGTATATTCCACTCAATTCGCCTTTCAAGTCCAAAGAGCAATATTAATGACATTCACACAGACCTTTCGGTCAGTCACATTTCTGACAAGGCAAAGCAAAATTCCCTTTTAGAAACACCGTGACATTTCTGGAAGTGATTAAAGGTTTGCCCATTCTGCTGTCGCGTGTGCAGCGCCCACTGAACGCAACGGGGATTTCCTGAATGGCACATTATTTTCTTCACAACTTTTGTACCTTCTTCCCGCATCAATAGAACGTGATGATGATGGTTGCCATCAGCTGGTTCTCAGATCTACCAATGACGTGAAGTGTTAACGATGCAGAATTCACTGAACTGGGAGATTAACTACCTATTTCCTTCCCATAAATGGTCTATAGATTCAGTGCCACCCACCAAAAGCGGTGTGCCTTCCAGACCAGAGATGCTCACAGATATAAAGGGGGAAAAAAAAAAAAACAACACAAAGGAAAAGTTTAAATAATAGTTTCACCATGTAAAGAATACCAGATGGAAGTTCCACTAAATTAATCCAGTGATTTGGGACTTCCCCTCTCCCCCTCCACTTCTGGTAACACACACTTGCCTTTAGACTTTGAGTAAAAAGCCCTCAACCCACAGAAGGGAGGCAACTCCTGTGACCACACAGCCAAGCAGAGGGTTTCAAAGAACATATTCAACCACATTACAAATTTAAGCCCACACCACGCACATCCAAAATTGAAGGTCAGTGTTTAATTATTAATGTCTTGTTTAAAGGTATCAACTAATTGGCTTCTTTTATTTTAAATTTAGCATCAGGTGTTGAGCCATCTTTCATGACCTTACAAAATACATCAGAGAAGGGAAGAAGCTATTAATAGAACCGATGAAATTATATTCCTTACATCTGAACAGATTTAAGATTGATTTTCATTTTTCCTACTCTTCAGAGAAGTTGCCTGACCAGAGAATTTTCTTTCAAAGAACCTTTCAAACCTTTGCTTCCTGCCCAGAAAGCCAACAGCAGTATCTGCAGTCAACTCATGCTGTAACTTACTTTATTTTTCACTCAGCATTTTTACCTCTGTATTTTCCCCAAGACCCTCCATGTTGATGTAGCAGCTTGGATACCCATCTTCATTTTCCATGTCCATTAGTATCACGCTAGCAGCTTTTAACAACAATTCCCTCTTACCTTGAGCTTTGGTGGCAACAAGTGCACACCCACTATTGCTAGCTGCAGGACCACTTCCTTCTCAAACCAGCAAGCCCAGTGCCAGGCGATGAGGGGTCTGTATTTTGTGCACAACCTTGAAGAACAGTAGGCTGCCTCACACTGTCTCAGTGAAAGGGTTTATTTATTTTGGGGATCGTACCTCGTTTCCACCATGCCCCCATACAGCAAAGGACTTACATAGCTGAAGGATCCCCTTCCTACTGTGCTGATAGACTTTACAAGGCACAGCTCAGTTTGCTTTGCCAACGCTTGTTTTTGTCCACATCCCCAGAGAAATGGTCTAAAACATTTAATATTTAAACATACTGACTGTTCATCTCATCAAATCTGGGGGGTTTTCCTATAAAGAGGATCACACAGGTAACAGCACTTCATCTTTGCAGCTCTAACAGAAGAAATCCCCGGCCTCCCACGCAGCCATTGGGGCTGCCTCTGTGAAGCTGCCACCACAGCACTGTTACACACTCCAGAAGCACGCCTCAGCAGCACCAACAGCCCTCACTGCACAACACATGATCCAACCTGCGAACACACAGCACAAGCTGATTTTCCCTGAAGCACTTCTCCCACAAAGACCTCATTACTCTTCCATGCCAAGCCCAGAATAGCAACACCTCCTGTTGATTCAGTAGCAATTTGGTAACTAAATCACTGGGCTAACAACTCCTGAAATATCTGAGCCATGCCATCGCTGGCAGCATTTACTTCCATAGTTCCAGAGAAGTTTTGTAACAATTCCTATTAATATTACTTGTCAAGATGAAAACGCTCCACCCACACCAAAACCTTCTTCAAGGAATCTACAAGAACTAATGCTCTACCATCTCACTTTAAAATAATTTTGATCAAGGCTGATCAATGAGAAAAAGGAAGATTAAAGCAGTGAATGCAAGGCACATATCATTCCCACCTCGCTTTTTTCAATATTCTAGTAAGTTTAGGAATGGAGGGTTTTTTTCCTTTTAAAATGCATCCCCTGCATCAAAGTAGTGCTCTGGTCTTCTCTTTTCAGAAGAACTGGTTAGATTCCATCTGCATCATTACAATCAATTCACCTCCTTTCCTCCAGCTCTCTGGCCTTCCCTCTTCACCTCACCAGAGCAGCTCGGGAAGCACATTGCATCCAGACAGCTCGTGCTTATGCCAGAAATGGGAGAACAGAAAAAAGGTAGGACACAGCACTTAACTAGAAAGCAAACCAGAAGTGCGAGGCACTACACTGCAGCAAAATGGCAAATTCGACTGCAAGAAAACATTCAGCTCCATGCAAAAATGCCCCCTTCCCCCACCAGTCACAAACTCTGAAGAGCTGTAATAGCTCAACAGCTTGGAAGCATTTCTTCAGACTCACTCCAGCTAAAAGCTGGAAAGGAGAACATCTCCAGAGCCCTAAAAAACCTGAAGCTTGTTAAGAGAAGCAAAAGTGTCACAACTGCCAGTCATGGCTATGAATTATCTGTACTGCACAACCAGTTGAGATCAGTACATCACATTCACAGGGAGAGCTCTCGCTGACCTTCTAGGCAATGCTCATCATCAAGTGTTTGGGACGGGGCAGGGAAAAGAGAGGAAGCAAGTCTGCCTGAAATACGTTAAAGAGCAGTTCTCCCAGATAAGAAAAGATCAATACAAAGAAATGCATTTTCTTAAAATACTCTGACATTCTTTGGCCCGACTACAGCTTTCAGTACTCAAGTTCTTCCACACTGCAAATTCCACCTCACCTAAGTTTCATCTGTATTTTCTAGTTGCTCATTTTACAAAGAAAAAAAGAAATGAAATCAGGGTAGCTTTGTCTTCTAATGGAAAAACTTTGTTTGCTAATATACTATGTAACTAATATGCAAAATATTTGAATGTATCTAAGGAGATACAAATGAGTACCCTGGGATATTTCTGTAGCACTTGTAAGGCATACAGACATTTTCATTGATCACTAACATAAATTCATCTCAAATTCCAATTGACGTATTTAACAAGAGATTAAACCTACATCAACTTTAAAATTCTGTATTACTACACGTGTTCAGACACAATGACAATCCCAGCAGGATTTTCTTCTGTAAGAAAACAAAGCATCTCAAGAAAAACATCATCTCTCAAGAGCTGAACTAGACTCCGCAAAGTGATACATTTTACTAAAGCTTTCTTTAAAGCATCTAAGTATCAGTTCTTGCTATGTTCAGCAGTCAAAATGTCACTTTATCCCCAGTCTCAGCAGCTTAGACCAGCCGAACAGTTGCCAAGTTTCTATTGTCCCCCTGCTAGAGCTCCATGAAGAAGGCAGCAGGACTCCATGCAAGTGCTCACTGCGCTGCACAGCAAGCATCTGGGTGAGAAGAATCTTACTAAGAAGGTTCGTTCATTTCAACTCAACTCCCTTATTTGATTCACTGCAAACTGAGACAAGGAGGGGGAGCATAAAAGCAGGAAGCAACAAGGCTCCAAGAGGCACGTGACACTGCTTCCTGGCACTGCCTTCGGACAGCCTAAAAGTATTTTGAAACTTCAGCTCCAGTGGCTGTCTCAACTATTTCTGACAAAACAGTTGTGTCAGTCACAGGCAGGCAAAGGTGTAACTGACACAGCTATGCTGGCACAAGCTCATACGGTTATACAATCACAGCCTCTCTCTTGTGAGGATGGTGTGGTTAAACTGGGGAAGCCATGCCACGAAAGCTGTGTATACAGCAGCACACTCACACTCTTGTGCTGACGCAAGGGCCCTAACAGACATAGGTTACATCTGTCTAACCACGCATGATATTTACAGTACCCAGAAGCATTAATCATGGGCAGGAGTTGCAGAACTGGAACAGGAACCTAAGCTGAGTACCACCGAGATGCTGACTGTCGGAAGGAGCACAGTGCAAGGGATTCCTGCTCTAAACAACACGGCTCAGCAAAGCCTACACAAACAAGCAACTCTAGAGGACTGCAAGGTACACTGCCTCAAATTCTGCATACAGAGTTCTAGTTTTTGATGCAAAACAACTGAGAAACTCCTACAGTTAAAGAATGCTTTAATAACAGTTTGATTTCTATTTGGAATTAGTCATTTTATAAACACACAAAATTATCTGAGGCAGCTCCTGCAGTCCAAGTCCACTCTGCTTAGGCTGCTAGTAACGCTACATCTACAGAAACTGCAGGATTCAGCTCATTTTAA